CTTACTCTGATCACTCTGTGTTATCATTGCCAGTCTATTATTGGGGCCTCCCAAGTGCAGAGACAATTTCACCAATGCATCACTCTGTCCCCTGTGTCCAGCCTGGGCCCTGGCACGTGGACTCAGCAATTGTCCAGCCAGTGAATGGATGATGAGTGGACAGCCAGTTATACCTCCTTTGCAGTCCAGCCTCTGGTCCCTGTACCACCCAGAAGAGGGGGGCATCATTTACACATCTGGGCCCCCCAGATTTGAAGGGCTATCCAGGGTTGACTCAACCCTAGACTCATGTCCTGCTCAGGCTGGGGGCAGAGGGGGGTCGAGACAGTTGCTGTACTGAGGGGCGGCATGCTCCGAGGCCAACCATGTCCCTGGGCCTGTCTGAGCTTGTTAACTCCAGGGAGAAGATGTTCACTGAGGGTGACAGCTGAGGAGCCCCTGTCAGCTCCCATCAGCATGAGTCCTCCCTGTCCGCCCTGCCTCCCACCCCATCTTTCAGGTCTCCAGTGTGCTGTCACCTCTTCCAAGAAGCCCCCCCTGATTGCCCAAACTAAACTTACTTCCTTGTCCTGGCTCCTTATCTATTTCCTTCGTGGTTTTTACCATGATGTCACTACCTAATTTATAATTTGTTTCCCACGTCACTGTCTGTCTTCCTAATTGTCTAGGAAACCACGTGAGATTGTGAAATACCCACTGCCTGCACCATGGCAACACCAGTGGCTGGCAAAGGTGCAGTCTAAAGGAGTGAATGAATGAATGAGATGAGAGTAAAGTGGAAAGTGAATTGGTTCTGGGACCAGGCATATAGGGCTTGAATCCAGGCTCTGGGGTGGACCAGTGGGGTAGTCTTGAGCAAGAACCTGCCTCTGGCTGAGCCTCGGCCTGCCTCCTGATCTGAACTTCCTGCAGCTGGTGCACTCAGCGCAGCTGGGCCTGGCTCCCAGAACACCTCTGCTATGGCCACCTTGTCCTTGCTCAGAGGAGCAGGGTGGTCACTGAGAGGGGCAGAGGATGATCACAGTGTAGACAGATGGACTTGGGCCAGGCATCAAGGTCCTAGGGGGCCGGTGTAGCCCTCTAGACCCCCAGCTTTGACCTCCTGCTTGTCTGCCTGTCTGCTGAGCAAGTGAAATCTACCCACTTGACAGAAAGGAAGACTGAGGCCCATACATGCAGATAGAGAGCACAGACTTAAGCACCTTGGAGCCAGACAGTGCATCATGAAAAATCACCTAGACCAATGCTTTTGCTGTCCCAATGGGGAAAACGAGGTGCCCCAGAGGGACAGTGCCCACTCAAGGTACCACAATGACTCTGGCCCGGCCTGGCTCCTTCTGAAGCTGGGGGCCAGGGCTGCTCCCCTCTACTAGGGCCCCCAACTCCAGTGAGGCTGTGGAGCTGTCAGGCGGGATCAGCAGGGTCCTGGCTCCAGCTCCCCAGATTTAATTAACAGGCCTTTCATCTCTGTCCTGAAGGAATCTGCTCTCTTCTGTCTTCTTAATTAACATTCATTAAGCAAATCAGAACAGGGCTTTTCTCCCTCCTTTCTTTGCCTGGAAGGTTTTAACCCTTGGTAGGTGGACTGTGGGGAGGGGAGTCTGTACCTCTGCTTGCAGCTCCAAGCAGGAGGTCAGGCCTCTGCAGGGGCTCCCCAGGTCCTCAGGATAGGCAGAGTCCCCCCCCCCCCACCTCCCCCACCCTCGCCATCAGCCACACCCAGACAGCAGGGCCACCTCCCACAACACCTCCATGCCGCCTGGATTCTTGAAGGAAACTAACATGGGTCCTAACTAATATGGGTTCTACTGCTCAAGAGGCTTCCCAGGCTCCCTGCCATCGTCCTAAGACGATGAGTTAGGACACTGGGCAGGTTGTGGGCCCTCACAGCTTCAGGCTGCAGGAAAACTGAGGCCAAGTGCCCCCGTGGCTTCTGTGGCCCCACAGACCTGGGCTTCAAGTCATGTGTGTGCGCAGACAGGGCACAGGCCACAGGGCACAGATCCTTTTGCTGGGATCATGGCAGGTCCTGCGTGGAGCTGACCTTCAGACTCCACTCTCTCCCTCTCCTTTCACATTGGGTTTTTTTATTTTTTGGCCATCCTGCTCAGCTTGGGGGGTTTTAGTTCCCCAACCGGGGATCAAACCCATGCCCCCTGCAGTGGAAGCACAGAGCCCTAACCACTGGGCCACCGGGGAGGTCCCACTCAGCACCTTCACTTGATGGAGGGTTGGCAGTGTGCATCTGCGGTTGTCCTTTTGTGGTCCCTAACGGTGACTCCCACAGGTCTCCTGGCTCACTTCCTGCAGCTGCAGAAGTGTTTGCTGTCCCTTTATCATGCAGATGTGAGGAGTTATCCTGAGGTTTTGTGGGTGCACAGACACCCCATACTTGGGGGCCACGTTCCTAGATGGCTTCCTGGCATCTGGGAACCTGAGCCCCTCCGTGACTCCCATGCTGGGAAGTGTTGACCCCAGGGATGGGAAAGGCCTGGGCGAATGTCGCCAGTGAACCACGTGCCCTCTCTGGGCCTCAGTTTCCCCATGTGTGTAACCAATGCCTGTGGGGCCCAGTGACTATTCTGGTCCGTGGTCCACCGTCTGTGCGGGACAGTAGAGTTGGCCTTGGCCGCCAGGGGGCGAAAGGAGCCGGTCCTGTAATGTGGCCAATATCGCCACCTGGTGGTGGGTTGGGGGGAACAGGACCAGCTGGACTGGGAGCGCTGGGAGGAGACTTCGTTCAGGCGGGACCAAGGTGGCCATCCAAGGCAGGACGGTCCCCTGGAGAGCCACTGCCAGGAGCTGGGCGAGGCCAGGGAGCACCCAGCTGGCACCTCTTAAAGGAGCCGTCAGCTCAAATCCGGCTCCTGTAGGATAATCCTTTGCCAGCCATGTGGTTCCTGCTCAGTCCCCAAACATACCCTGAACTGTGTGTTCACACAGCGGGGACACAAGGGCGAGGTACCCAAGGTCCCTGCCCCCCACGAACACACAACCCTCAGCAGGACAAAGCCCCAGTTCATCACCATGGTGCCCAGCATCCCACTTCATCTGGCCTCTGCACCCTGCTCCAGTCCTATCCCAGGACTAGCTCCCCATCCAGAGCTGCAAACACGCATCAGGCTTCCCTAGTCATTCAGACCTCTGACCCTGTGCCCATGCTGTGCCTGAGCCGCCTGTTTCCCCATTCATCCATTACCGTGTAGTTTGCTGATCACCTCTTCTGGGAAGCACCCCCGAGGTCCAGGCAGAGCTATTTACCCTGCCCTCCTTACATCCCAGACACCCTTCTGTCACAGCCTGTCAGCCTGTTCATGGACATCAGTGGCTATGGTGTCTGCTTCTGCTTTATTGACTACGCCAAAGTCTTTGACTGTGTGGATCACAATAAACTGTAGAAAATTCTTCAAAAGATGGGAATACCAGACCTGCCTCCTGAGAAATCTGTATGCAGGTCAAGAAGCAACAGTTAGAGTGGGATATGGAACAACAGACTGGTTCCAAATCAGGAAAGGAGAACGTCAAGGCTGTATATTGTCATACTGCTTATTTAACTTATATGCAGAGTACAACATGCAAAATGCTGGGCTGGATGAAGCACAAGCTGGAATCAAGACTGCTGGGAGGAATATCAGTAACCTCATATATGCAGATGACACCATCCTTATGGCAGAAAGCAAAGAATTAAAAAGCCTCTTGATGAAAACAAAAGGAGAGAGTGAAAAAGTTGGCTTAAAAGTCAACATTCCGAAAATCAAGATCATGGCATCTGGTCCCATCACTTCATGGCAAATAGATGGGGAAACAATGGAAACAGTGGCTGACTTTATTTTCTTGGGCTCCAAAACCACAGCAGGTGGTGACTGCAGCCATAAAATTAAAAGATGCTTGTTCCTTGGAAGAAAAGCTATGACCAACCTAGACAGCACATAAAAAGCAGAGACATTACTTTGTCAACAAAGGTCCGTCTAGTCAAAGCTATGGTTTTTCCAGTAGTCATGTATGGATGTGAGAGTTGGACTATAAAGAAATGTGAGTGCTGAAGAATTGATGCTTTTGAACTGTGGTGTTGGAGGACTCTTGAGAGTCCCCTGGACTGCAAGGAGATCAAACCAACCATCCTAGAGGAAATCAGTCCTGAATATTCATTGGAAGGACAGATGCTGAAGCTGAAACTCCAATACTTCAGCCACCTGATGTGAAGAACTGACTCATTAGAAAAGACCCTGATGCTGGGAAACATGGAAGGCAGGAGGAGAAGGGGACGACTGAGGATGAGATGGTTGAATAGCATCACCAACTCAATGCACATGAGTTTGAGTAAGCTCTGGGAGTTGGTGATGGACCGGCAGGCCTGGCGTCATGCAGTCCATGGGGTCACAAAGAGTCAGACAAGACAGAGCAACTGAACTGAATTGAACTGAATGGATCCTCTGCCCACTTCTACCTTCCCAGTCTCAAGCAAGAACATCTGATAGTCCTGAGCATGTTTAGAAATTTACTCCTATTTTCTTTAGAGTTTTTCTGGGAAGGGTTACTAAGTTTTATCAAGTGTTTTCTCTAGCATCTTTTTATATGAGCATATGGCTCTCTCCCTTGGTTTACTAATTTTAATGAATGGAGAATATAAGGGTGTATCTCCTGGGGGTGGGGGAAGGGAAGGCTTCTCTCTCAAGTGTTGTTTGTGATGAGACCAGAGATCCTTGGTCACAAATATAAGGTTAGAATCTCTGCTTTGAGAGCAGAGAAAAGCCAGCAGCAAAAGCAATTTTCAGTTAATGGAACCGTGCAAACATAAGGAACCATTGTAGGATCCTGCCTGGGGTGACTTCATTGCTGGGAGGAAACGTGCAATGGGAAAGACCAGATTTTAAAAAACCCGCATGTCCCCTTTTATCTCAGGACTTAAAAGGCACTGGGGAGAGTTTTCCATGTCAGCAGCCATTGAAACCTCACAACCGCGGTAATGAGCCTGTATCATCACCCATCCCATTTTACAGATGAGGACACTGAGGCTCGGAGAGCCAAGGTTCCCCCGGCAGAGCCAGGGCAAGACAGCCGGGGGGCTGAGTCCCCAGCCGGGCACTCCCGGGCGCGTCCACCAGGTGGGGGTGAGCGCCCAGAGACGGAGCGGTCGGGAGGTGCGAGTGCTGCCCGCCCCGTCCCTCCCTCCCGCCATGGAGCCCGCCCGCCGAGGGGAGGCGCGGTCCGCGCCCAACGGAGCAGCCGGAGACTAGGCGGGCGCGCAGAGCCGGGCGCGCACGGCGGAGCGCAGGGTCGTCGAGGTGTTCCCCGACCATGGGCACGGCGGCGGCGCTCCTGCTGAGCCTGGCGCTCCTGGCGCCGCGCGCGGCCGGCGCGGGCATGGGCGCCTGTTACGACGGCGCGGGGCACCCGCAGCGCTGCCTGCCGGTGTTCGAGAACGCGGCGTTCGGCCGGCTCGCCGAGGCCTCGCACACGTGCGGCCGCCCGCCCGAGGACTTCTGCCCGCACGTGGGCGCCCAGGGCGCGGGGGCGCCGTGCCAGCGCTGCGACGCCGCCGACCCCGCACGCCACCACAACGCCTCCTACCTCACCGACTTCCACAGCCAGGACGACAGCACCTGGTGGCAGAGCCCGTCCATGGCCTTCGGCGTGCAGTACCCCACCTCGGTCAACATCACCCTCAACCTGGGTAAGCGCGCTCCGGGCGGGGGTGGGAGCGGCACCACCGCCCCCTGGCCCCTCTCCCACCGTCGCGGGTTAGAGGCCCCCTGGTTTAGCTATAGGATCCAGATTTGGGGGGCGGGCGGCGTTGCTCAGGAATGGGACAGCGAGTTCTGGCCTGCTGCGGTCCATGGGGTCTGGAAGAGTCCGACGCTTCTAGGCGCCTGAACAACAACCACAGCAGGAGTGGGACCTATGTCCGCTCTTTCTCGAAGGATACGCTGATGGGTGTCCCTTGGGTCCGGGAGGGGTGGGAAGCCTCCTGGGAGCCCTTTACAGAGCAGTGGATTCGGGTGCCAGAGCCGTGCCAAGATTGTCCATCCTAGACCCAGAGCTGTTCTGGGAGAGGAGGAGGGTGACCCACCTGGGGTGAGCTGGTTGGATATCTGGGGCCTGGGCTCCTCATCCTGGCTTAAGTGGGTGACTTCCGGGGTTCAGTGAACCCCTGAGGTTCTGGGCCATCCCTGGGGGTGTCCTCGGGGATGGAGCCAGCCTGTTCGTCACAGGGAAGGTTATCCTCAAGGCAGGAGCCAAGTTTCACCAGGCTGCCGGGTAACTGGACCGGATGGCCTGGCCTCTCTGCTGTGTCCAAGCCTCCCTCCACCCAACCCCAGGCCAGGGCGCAGGAGCCCTTGTGTGTGTTCAGTAGTGGCCAGCACTGCAACCCCAGGGACTGTAGCCCGCCTGGCTCCTCTGTCCGTGGGGTTTTCCAGGCAAGAATACTGGAGTTGGGTTGCCATTTCCTACTCCAGGGCACCTTCCCGACCCAGGGGTCGAACCCATGTCTCTTGGGTCTCTTGCTTAGCAAGTGGAATCTTTACCACTACAGTGTCTGGGAAGCCCCTTAGGTCTCTGGCAGTCGGAATCCGGAGTCTGGACCCAGCCCTTCACTCCTGGCACTGTCCCCATTGCAGGGAATGGAAATAAAACATGCCCTCCTGGCTCCCCACCCCTTCCATAGCCCTTTCAGGAAGGGAGTGTTTCAAACCGTCCTACTCCCTTATCTGTGAGTTCAAAATCTCCCAAAGCTTTGAGAACTCAGAGTATTTTTATACACTCATTTTGGCTGCTAAACCTGCCCTAAGGCTATTTATAGACCTTGTTGATCCTAGAGTGAATAGTCATACAAGTAGTCATACATTTGGTTACTGAGATGTTATTTGAATATAGCTATTGGCCCCAGACCCAGCTGGGGGTGTTAACACAGTCCTTGGTGAAAGGACTGCATCATCTCTCCAAACTCTGGAAAGTTCTGAATTCTACACTACATTCAGAGCCTGGATAAAGAATTACGGGAATGTATCCCTATATTTCAGATGAGAAAACTGAGGTTCAGAGAGGTTAAGTCTCTGGCCCAAAGACACACAGCTGCTCAATGTTACTGGCATCCGTGTACATCCAAGAGAAGAGCATGAACTCCTTGACATGAGTTCCACCCACCCGTGGAGTCTGTTCTTCCCAGCTCCGGGTGACAGTGCCTTGGGGAGGGCTGGGAGATGGGACTGAAGTGGTGGGTGGGGGAACCCTGAGCCTTCTCAGAAGAGCAGGCTGGTGCTGACTGCCACCCCAAGAAGCTCAGTTGCTCTGGGGTCTTGAGGGGCCTTGACACCTCCCATTGACCTGCCAGGCCTGCCAGGTGGGACTTGTCGATGGAATGGGACGGCTGGGATGGGGCAGGGTCTCTATCCAGGAGGGCGACAGGAAGCCGGTGCGGGGAGAGGTGCTGGGGAACTGGGTGGACTGGCCTGGAAGGACCCCAAGGCCACAGGAGAAGGAATCTGGGACTGGGTGTAGGCTGTGGCAGACACTCTGTTCCGTGACAGAGGGTGTGGGATTGGCTGATGTGTGGCTTGTGTGGGTGGAGCCCCGGGCAAGCAAGGGGCTGTGGCCAGGCACAGATGAGGCGGGAGGGGGCAGGGAGGATGGGTGAGTTTCATCTGGGGCACTTCTGGTTTATTCTCGCTGTGTGCCGGGCCCTGTGCGGGTACACACACACACACGCACGCACATAGACACGCCATACACACGCACACACACGGTCACACACACTGCACACATGTGCACATAGACATGCCACACACATGTGTACACACAGTCACACACACTGCGCACACAGTCATACACACTGCACACATGCGCACATAGACACACCATACACATGTACACACACACAGACACACACACCATTGTTCTTCCCATTGTGTTGTGTTGTACAGCACCAGGCATGCAGGAGGGTTTGCACAGTGAATGAATGAGTGCGTCACAGCGTCACCTCCTCCGTCCTGTGCTCTGGGCCCAGCTCAGGGCTCTCTTGCTGCCTCGAGAACTCAGAACAGGCTTTGCCCTCGGGCCCAGCACAGCCACTCGCTGGGCAAACGCCACCCGCTCCCCGTGCCCTGTCAAATGGGGTGAGAGCCGCACCTCCTGGGGTGCTTGTCCCGGCCCCCTGGCTCGGGTCGGCCCAGTGCTTACAGGAGCTGGGGCCGTCCTTGTGTGTGACTGGGGGCCTCTGCTCAGAGCGGCTCAGGCTGCGGCTCCCCTTGAGGGCGGCCTCCTCTGAAGGGCTTGAGAAACATTCGCCCAGCTGGCTCCCAAAACATGTCCCGACCCTGGGTTCCATCTACGCAGGAAGGGTGCTGGGGACCCACAGCAGCCCCGGATGTGGCCCGTCTTTGGTTCCATTCCACTTTGGTTCCTCCACCCTGAGGCACAGGAACAGGGAGAAAAGGCCTGGGGTCTTCAGGAGCTCCCAGTGGGGGCCCGATCTCAGAGGACGTGGTTGGGGGAGCCTCTCCCAGCCCTCGGGCCACCTCCGCCGACCTCACCCCCTCTCTCCTTGACCTCGTGGGTGGCAGCTCAGGGGTGGGGGGCCCGGGTCTTCTGGAGGGAGGGGGTGAAGGGCAGGGGAGGAGCAGGCGGCCTTCAGCACGGGAAGGAGGTCGCCGCTTTCCCAGCCCCCTGCGAGCTCGCAGACATCTGCTCCGAATCCCCAAGTCCAGTCGCCCAGCTGAGCCTTCCTGTCTGGGATGAAAGGCAGCGGTGGGGGCTGGCGGCTTCTTGGCCTCCACAGAGGCCCTGGGGAGTGGACAGGCTGGAGCCAGGGGTGGGGAGAGGTGCGAGGGGGGAGGTGGACGTTCATCGGGGGGCCCTTCCCATGTGCTGGGAACCCCACCAAGCCAGCACCCCCATTGCAGCACCATCCGATCCTGTATAGACAGGGAAGCTGAGGCTCTGAGCGTGAAATCAGTGTCCAGGGTCCCACCGGAGACCTTGGGACCCTCCCCACCACACTCTTGCCCTTGCAGATGATAAGCGTCCACGTTAGGCCTGGCGGAGCCTCAGCTTTTGGCTAGGCTCGGGTCAGTGGGGTCTTCCTTCTGCTTGTCCACTTTTTGAATTCCCGAGAACCTCCTGGAAGGACCCTTACGTCCCTGAGCAGGTGAGCCCTGAGCCCCCGAGCGTGGGGAAGGCTGCAGGGGTGTGGGGGATGGGCTCCCGGCTGGGGGCTGCTGCGTGTGGACCAGTTCTCTGGCATCCAGCATCTGGTCAGCGTCTGCCCTGGCATCACGGAGCTAGAAGACAAGCTAGACTGGGGGAACGTTGTGGATGATTTACGCTCTGGGGACACACCCCCCCTGCAGGGGTCAGCAGACCTCGTGGAGATCTGAAGGGTGGCGGGAGCTGACCCGAGAGTGAAGGACCTTCCAGGTCAAGGGGACCCCACAGGGGGGCTAGGAGGCTGCTCTGTGTGTTCTTGGACCCGGTGGTCTGGCTGGCCAGAGCGGAGGGAACGAGAGGACAGCAGGGCCTGGCCCAGTGGGAGCTGACGTTGGAGGGACCTGCTGGCCCCTGCGGAGCCCGACGCCGGCTGTGTCTCCCGAGCCCTGGCTCCACTGTGTCTTCCTGTCGAGTGGGCGGCCGTGTTTGCATTGGCCGAGGCCAGTGCTGGCGGTGGCGGGGGGGGGGGTGGGGACCAAGTCCTCCTTCCTTCTCCCTGGGGCTCTGGCTGGAATGCTGGGGCCCCAGGCAGGTCAGGGGGTCAAGGCAGTGGCCCCGACTAGCTTCCACCACAGAAGCAGGCCCCCACAGCCCTGGGCCCAGCTGGCCCTGGCCACCTTGCCTGGCTCTGGGCTCAGGATGGACCCAGACATTGCAGGAGCGGGAAGTCCCCAAACCCAGGAGGATGCAGGCAGCCTCCAGATCGCCCCTCTCTCCCCTACTCTGGCTGCGTCACCTTCCTGTCAGCAAGGCTGATGATGGCCAGAGACTGCCTCTCTCCTCTCAGTCTTTGCCTTTGCTGTTGCATCAGCCAGGGATAACTTCCTGTTCCCGCCTCCTCTCGGATCACCCGTATCTCATTCATAAAACAACCGGGTGCCTACCGCACGCCGGTCCCTGTTCCAAGCCCTGGGGATGCAGCAGTGGACGAGCTGCTCTCTCCCCTGCTAGGCTTCGAGGTCACCTCCTCCATGAAGCCTCCAGCTTCCGCGATTGGGCAGAGGGCCTGCCTCCGTGTTCTTGCAGCCCTGCCCTTCCCCTGTCACAGTCTACATCGTGAGGGTGAGCTTTTGGTTCATTCGTGTCCATCACCGGCTCCAGGCTGCAGGGACAATGCCTGTTTTCACAGCTGTTCCCCAGCACCCAGGGCAGGGTGCTGTTGGTTGGCTGGGTGAATGGAATAGCAGCGAGCATTTAGTCACGCGTGTGCCACAGACTATTCTAAGTGCTTTGTGGTCATTTATTCATCAGTCCATCTTATTGTGAGGCCCATTTTGCAAATGGGGAAACTGAGTCACTCCGTTCCAAACACATGCCCAGTTCACACAAGGGAGGTTAGGTATTTTGCCCAAGGCCACAGAGCTGGTAAGCAAGCAGCAGAGCTGGAATGTGAACCCCAGCTCATGACAGCCACACCGTGTTTCCTCCCTGGGAACAGGAATGAGCGGATGAACGTGTGAATGAGTGACC